TGGAAATGATCATAGTCATACCATGTGATTGTCAAGTTTACTCTTGTAAGGAATACTGTAAAGTAAAGTGAGTGAGAGCTCCTTTTTTCGAGTTGCATCAGTTGCATGAAATAACATTGAATGAACATCAAAAAAATAATTTGAAATGCTCAATTTCAATGCAAACTGGACACAACGGTTGTTAGCGGAGTCATCACAGTTAACATTTAAAGCAACACAGATCAAAAGCTTGGTGTGGTGTTTTTACGGATGTTGAAAAGTACAGCAGGAAGAAACCAAGCAGCAGGTTTGCTTTTATCAAGTCTGATCAAACTTACAAGGACATGACTGCATGACATTTCTGTGACCTTTTGTTTCGGCCTAACAGAGTCCATTCCGTGGGTGTGTCCAACCACAACGCCACAGGCACCTGTCTCTTCCTGTCTCTGTGAAGGTCAAAGTGCTGTTTTTCCTCTGTCTATAGACATGCATGTTTTATGAATATCAGGCATCATTTAAACAATATTTAAACTAATTAATTTTAATATTTACTCTCCCTATCCAGCCACAACCACAAATAAAGGGGATATAACACACAGTTTCTGTCAATCTCATGTTAATCTTGAGTAGCCTACCTATAGAGTAGTACTGCATCCTTCATATCTGCGACGAGTCTTTAGTTTGATCAGATTTATAAAAGAAAGATAGAGCTTTACGATTCTCTCCGAAAACAGCCGAGCTCCTGGAGGCGTGCCGTGGGCGGAGCTAAAGAGTCGCGAGCACTTACTATTGAACAAAACAGAAATTTTATGCAGTTTTACTCACCGCCTGCGGTTTCGACTCATATGATGACCTGGGTTTTTTTATAGCTGGGACCATTCCAGCTTTCAGTATCAAACGATGTGCAAATTCAGCGTCGAACTGGGCCTTGTTTATAAAATATTCGTCACTGAAATGACCGGAACAAAACAAACACACTTGCGAAACTCATTGCTGTCCCGGAAAAACAAACTGCATCCACTGTTCACATAACGCTGGGTTCTTTGGGAAGCTGAACAAGGTTATCTTTCCCTCACATCCAAAAACACACTTCTTTGGAAACATTCTTTTCGAGCAAGTCCAGTGCAGCACTGTCCACACTTCTGTAACCCGAATGAAGCACGTTAATGGGCTGCTGGTTGATGTGTGCGCGCGCTCTTCTTCTTCAGGGTTGCCAGGTTTTCACAAGAAAACCCACCCAATCGCTACTCAAAACTAGCCCAATAGCGTTTCACGTTTTTTTGCGGGATTCCCGTGCTAAAATTCGCATTCCATGAGATAAATATCATGTTATTGGAGTCACTTCCACACGCGGACATGAAAAACAACCTGCGGCAACAGTGTTAAAGTAGCCTAATTCCGCGGGGAAACCGCAGACTTGGCAACACTGGAATGGGGTAAACCTGCGCTTTCAAATAGGAGCTTATGCTGCTAACTTTTCTTGTCTAAAACAAGAGAAAATCCGTATGATGGATGACCAAGAGACAGGCCCTCCCATGAGACCGGGCTGGCGACTAATCAATAGACTGGTAGTGTGGCCTGGCTCGAGGGCTCCATATCAATCATAATGCACAAGCCTTGTATTCTGCTGTTATCTCGTTGACAGCACACAGTAGGCCAGGGACGATTTGTCTCATCCATTACTTTTGGCAGATGGACCACAGGGCAACTGAGCGGACACTAGGGACTGACAAGAGTGGGAGAAACATTCACCATAAACAGTAAAAAAAAGATAGAAACTTAAAGTTTAGCTTATTAAAGACCAGAGTGAGTTGAGAAACACGTAAAAATTTAGAGACAGACATTGACTTGTATGTGTTCCTTCATTCCTTCCATTGACAAAGAGGTGTGTGTCCTCATCGTCTAAGTAATTTGAGAGGTTTGTCCTGCCCGGCTCTCCTCCATTGCTTCATGCCCCTCAAAAACAGATGCCATGCACTATAATCTAAATGTGGCACTAGGATTATCAACACATTGCTCTTGTCAGCCTTCCTATAGTACTGCTTACAAAAGACTGCCCCGGTGGGCCTTACTCTACTGTGGGAATTTAGGGCCACCTGGTGGTGAAAGCCAGTTAGGACATTGCACCTGTTTGTCACATGGGTTTTTTTGAAACCGCCCTGTGCCAAAAACAGAGCCGTGGGGTGAGGAACGGAACAAGGTGTTCCTGTGCTCAAAACAATCATATGTCAAGAGAGTCAATTAGCAGAAGTGCTGATCCGCAGCTTGTTTACATTTTATTTGATGAGGAGCTTTGTGCGCCTATTTAAAACCCACATATTGCTCTGTCCAATAGTGTATATTTATCAGGAAAAAAATAATTCTAGAATAGCTTGTATGGCTCTAATAAGACGCTTGAAACGATGCTATTTCAGCCCATGCTGACTCGACACGTCACACATTTCTTGCTGATTTTCCAAAACATAAATCCCTTATTTTTAGTGATGGGACAGTTAATACCGGGGCTCCGATGCTCCGAAGCAGTTATCAAAGCACTGTTATATCACATACTGTACCGACGCTTCTATCGAAATGACAATACCACGCGATTGATGACTTTTGAAGCTTCGAACGTCATGCAGTATCCAGCTGGTTTGAAAAAAATGGCGCTTCGCATACCCCTTGTGTTTGACTTTACATTAACTTGGTTGTGTGTGTATACTTGTATGGGATTTAGTAGAATAGTTGAGTATAGTAGAGTCATCAACTGTAATGCACGTCACACCTGTTGACCGGGCTGGCGACTAATCAATAGACTGGTAGTGTGGCCTGGCTCGAGGGCTCCATATCAATCATAATGCACAAGCCTTGTATTCTGCTGTTATCTCGTTGACAGCACACAGTAGGCCAGGGACGATTTGTCTCATCCATTACTTTTGGCAGATGGACCACAGGGCAACTGAGCTGACACTAGGGACTGACAAGAGTGGGAGAAACATTCACCATAAACAGTAAAAAAAAAGATAGAAACTTAAAGTTTAGCTTATTAAAGACCAGAGTGAGTTGAGAAACACGTAAAAATTTAGAGACAGACATTGACTTGTATGTGTTCCTTCATTCCTTCCATTGACAAAGAGGTGTGTGTCCTCATCGTCTAAGTAATTTGAGAGGTTTGTCCTGCCCGGCTCTCCTCCATTGCTTCATGCCCCTCAAAAACAGATGCCATGCACTATAATCTAAATGTGGCACTAGGATTATCAACACATTGCTCTTGTCAGCCTTCCTATAGTACTGCTTACAAAAGACTGCCCCGGTGGGCCTTACTCTACTGTGGGAATTTAGGGCCACCTGGTGGTGAAAGCCAGTTAGGACATTGCACCTGTTTGTCACATGGGTTTTTTTGAAACCGCCCTGTGCCAAAAACAGAGCCGTGGGGTGAGGAACGGAACAAGGTGTTCCTGTGCTCAAAACAATCATATGTCAAGAGAGTCAATTAGCAGAAGTGCTGATCCGCAGCTTGTTTACATTTTATTTGATGAGGAGCTTTGTGCGCCTATTTAAAACCCACATATTGCTCTGTCCAATAGTGTATATTTATCAGGAAAAAAATAATTCTAGAATAGCTTGTATGGCTCTAATAAGACGCTTGAAACGATGCTATTTCAGCCCATGCTGACTCGACACGTCACACATTTCTTGCTGATTTTCCAAAACATAAATCCCTTATTTTTAGTGATGGGACAGTTAATACCGGGGCTCCGATGCTCCGAAGCAGTTATCAAAGCACTGTTATATCACATACTGTACCGACGCTTCTATCGAAATGACAATACCACGCGATTGATGACTTTTGAAGCTTCGAACGTCATGCAGTATCCAGCTGGTTTGAAAAAAATGGCGCTTCGCATACCCCTTGTGTTTGACTTTACATTAACTTGGTTGTGTGTGTATACTTGTATGGGATTTAGTAGAATAGTTGAGTATAGTAGAGTCATCAACTGTAATGCACGTCACACCTGTTACATTTAATCATGTTGTATAGCTGGGGTCTCAGAGACCCCGAACAGCTCACCCAATATATATATATATATAAAAATACGTCAATTATTAAAATGACCACATACTTATATATATTTTTTAAATTATTGATCAATATGTGAATCCGCTGACCAGACTACACGACACGAATGGTGTTCTCATTGGCACAAATTAAATCAGATGACATTAGATCAGATTAGAACGGTATTGATCCAAGACTGATCGGACTTCCGAAGCCTTGTTTGGTCACGTGCTTTTTCAAACGTTCCTCTGCCCCACGATGATTTCACCAGATGTCGCTAACGCACATTGTGTTAAAAGCTTCGAATAATGAACCGTTTTTCGACAATTTGATGAAAGCCTCGGGTTCCCCATCACTACGTATTTTCTTAAAATTAAAGCTATAGTGAAGCACTTACAATGGAAGTGAATCATGGACGTAATTTCAGTTACATTAATTCTTATGCTAAACATTGCATGGTATTTGATTTGTAAAGCTGTTCATTTACAAAAAAATAAAAATACCTTTTTCCCCTCCCCAATGTTCTTCAGCAGCAGTCCTTAAGCTCCATGGGCCCCAATTGTGCAAAGCAACATTCGAACACCCCACAGACGGCAAACAATAATTCTGGTACTTCTATAAAACTTCTCATTTTAAACTTAAACTAATCGCGACTCCAGAAATACAGTACACAAAAACAACGACTGACAGAACAATATAATAGAAATAAAGACAGCACATTCTATATCCTTGTCATTTTATTATTAGTCATCTTGCAGTACCCTGGCTGAAAACCAGTTCTAGGTCCATGAACACTGGAAGGAGGTCATAAGGTGTGAAGCCTTCTTGTGCTTGCATTATAAAACTTAATCTTCCATGAAAATCAAAGCTTATGTAGGCTATAGCGTATTTGCAAGTATTAGGCTGATACGGTTACAATCATGTATTGGAATGCAGTGTACACAATGTTTAATAAACAAAACAGAAGAACATAAGTCAGATGTAAGTTTTAAGAATTAACACATTTTAATGGTTAATACAATCAATATTTACAAAAGTTCTCAAAGTATATCACACATGTGTTGTAGCTCTGAGTGCACTTGTGTAGATTTACATTCAAGCATTTACCACAGCATGTACAGTTACCCAGCAGTGATGAGCAGGCAGCCATGCGGCTTTGTCCCAAGGCTCTGGGTGGGTTGCACAGACAGCTGAGATCCACCGAGGAGGATTAGCAACCTGTAAAAGTCTCTGAAAACACACATGCATCCGTTGGCAGAACAATGCATGCACACTTCTCAGCAATTACAATGCGACAGCACGTTACTGCAACGCTCTTACACCGCGTACACAAAGGGTGGAGCGGGTTTACCTGCTGGCCACGTGATGGTGGCCGTACTGGGGGCGTGGTGTACACGTCATCGCGCAGCTGTGACGCAGAGCGTTCCGCCTCCCTGAGTTGGAGTCTGCGCAATGCTGTGAGAACAAGGAGAGCCGACAAATGAAACCACATTCAACTCGTAACATGCAACTCAAAAAGAATCGTGTCGAACGCCTGGGCTTTCATAAAACATTGTTTTATACGATTACACATTTACAGAGCTAACAATAAAAGCACTGGCATTTTCACGCACATGTTACTGTCTATGGCTTCACAGCTGCCCGGTCGTCTCGTTCCGACGAAATCCGAGTCAGGTTTCGGAAACACGTCAGATTTCATTCCTGAAGAACACGTTCTCGAAGTCTCTCTGTTGGAAGTCCAAAGATCTGTCGTAATCATAGTCCGACACTGAGAAAACGCTCTCATCAAATGGGACATCACTCTGCATTGAGAAATCGTGGCTTACGTCACATGCCTCCATTGAAACGTCTAATCGGTCAGCATACACCAGGTCCATTAAATATTGCGTTGTGTTTCTTGGTGCCATGGCTACCCATGCACTATAATCTAAATGTGGCACTAGGATTATCAACACATTGCTCTTGTCAGCCTTCCTATAGTACTGCTTACAAAAGACTGCCCCGGTGGGCCTTACTCTACTGTGGGAATTTAGGGCCACCTGGTGGTGAAAGCCAGTTAGGACATTGCACCTGTTTGTCACATGGGTTTTTTTGAAACCGCCCTGTGCCAAAAACAGAGCCGTGGGGTGAGGAACGGAACAAGGTGTTCCTGTGCTCAAAACAATCATATGTCAAGAGAGTCAATTAGCAGAAGTGCTGATCCGCAGCTTGTTTACATTTTATTTGATGAGGAGCTTTGTGCGCCTATTTAAAACCCACATATTGCTCTGTCCAATAGTGTATATTTATCAGGAAAAAAATAATTCTAGAATAGCTTGTATGGCTCTAATAAGACGCTTGAAACGATGCTATTTCAGCCCATGCTGACTCGACACGTCACACATTTCTTGCTGATTTTCCAAAACATAAATCCCTTATTTTTAGTGATGGGACAGTTAATACCGGGGCTCCGATGCTCCGAAGCAGTTATCAAAGCACTGTTATATCACATACTGTACCGACGCTTCTATCGAAATGACAATACCACGCGATTGATGACTTTTGAAGCTTCGAACGTCATGCAGTATCCAGCTGGTTTGAAAAAAATGGCGCTTCGCATACCCCTTGTGTTTGACTTTACATTAACTTGGTTGTGTGTGTATACTTGTATGGGATTTAGTAGAATAGTTGAGTATAGTAGAGTCATCAACTGTAATGCACGTCACACCTGTTACATTTAATCATGTTGTATAGCTGGGGTCTCAGAGACCCCGAACAGCTCACCCAATATATATATATATATAAAAATACGTCAATTATTAAAATGACCACATACTTATATATATTTTTTAAATTATTGATCAATATGTGAATCCGCTGACCAGACTACACGACACGAATGGTGTTCTCATTGGCACAAATTAAATCAGATGACATTAGATCAGATTAGAACGGTATTGATCCAAGACTGATCGGACTTCCGAAGCCTTGTTTGGTCACGTGCTTTTTCAAACGTTCCTCTGCCCCACGATGATTTCACCAGATGTCGCTAACGCACATTGTGTTAAAAGCTTCGAATAATGAACCGTTTTTCGACAATTTGATGAAAGCCTCGGGTTCCCCATCACTACGTATTTTCTTAAAATTAAAGCTATAGTGAAGCACTTACAATGGAAGTGAATCATGGTCGTAATTTCAGTTACATTAATTCTTATGCTAAACCTTGCATGGTATTTGATTTGTAAAGCTGTTCATTTACAAAAAAATAAAAATACCTTTTTCCCCTCCCCAATGTTCTTCAGCAGCAGTCCTTAAGCTCCATGGGCCCCAATTGTGCAAAGCAACATTCGAACACCCCACAGACGGCAAACAATAATTCTGGTACTTCTATAAAACTTCTCATTTTAAACTTAAACTAATCGCGACTCCAGAAATACAGTACACAAAAACAACGACTGACAGAACAATATAATAGAAATAAAGACAGCACATTCTATATCCTTGTCATTTTATTATTAGTCATCTTGCAGTACCCTGGCTGAAAACCAGTTCTAGGTCCATGAACACTGGAAGGAGGTCATAAGGTGTGAAGCCTTCTTGTGCTTGCATTATAAAACTTAATCTTCCATGAAAATCAAAGCTTATGTAGGCTATAGCGTATTTGCAAGTATTAGGCTGATACGGTTACAATCATGTATTGGAATGCAGTGTACACAATGTTTAATAAACAAAACAGAAGAACATAAGTCAGATGTAAGTTAAGAATTAACAAATTTTAATGGTTAATACAATCAATATTTACAAAAGTTCTCAAAGTATATCACACATGTGTTGTAGCTCTGAGTGCACTTGTGTAGATTTACATTCAAGCATTTACCACAGCATGTACAGTTACCCAGCAGTGATGAGCAGGCAGCCATGCGGCTTTGTCCCAAGGCTCTGGGTGGGTTGCACAGACAGCTGAGATCCACCGAGGAGGATTAGCAACCTGTAAAAGTCTCTGAAAACACACATGCATCCGTTGGCAGAACAATGCATGCACACTTCTCAGCAATTACAATGCGACAGCACGTTACTGCAACGCTCTTACACCGCGTACACAAAGGGTGGAGCGGGTTTACCTGCTGGCCACGTGATGGTGGCCGTACTGGGGGCGTGGTGTACACGTCATCGCGCAGCTGTGACGCAGAGCGTTCCGCCTCCCTGAGTTGGAGTCTGCGCAATGCTGTGAGAACAAGGAGAGCCGACAAATGAAACCACATTCAACTCGTAACATGCAACTCAAAAAGAATCGTGTCGAACGCCTGGGCTTTCATAAAACATTGTTTTATACGATTACACATTTACAGAGCTAACAATAAAAGCACTGGCATTTTCACGCACATGTTACTGTCTATGGCTTCACAGCTGCCCGGTCGTCTCGTTCCGACGAAATCCGAGTCAGGTTTCGGAAACACGTCAGATTTCATTCCTGAAGAACACGTTCTCGAAGTCTCTCTGTTGGAAGTCCAAAGATCTGTCGTAATCATAGTCCGACACTGAGAAAACGCTCTCATCAAATGGGACATCACTCTGCATTGAGAAATCGTGGCTTACGTCACATGCCTCCATTGAAACGTCTAATCGGTCAGCATACACCAGGTCCATTAAGAACATAAGTCAGATGTAAGTTTTAAGAATTAACACATTTTAATGGTTAATACAATCAATATTTACAAAAGTTCTCAAAGTATATCACACATGTGTTGTAGCTCTGAGTGCACTTGTGTAGATTTACATTCAAGCATTTACCACAGCATGTACAGTTACCCAGCAGTGATGAGCAGGCAGCCATGCGGCTTTGTCCCAAGGCTCTGGGTGGGTTGCACAGACAGCTGAGATCCACCGAGGAGGATTAGCAACCTGTAAAAGTCTCTGAAAACACACATGCATCCGTTGGCAGAACAATGCATGCACACTTCTCAGCAATTACAATGCGACAGCACGTTACTGCAACGCTCTTACACCGCGTACACAAAGGGTGGAGCGGGTTTACCTGCTGGCCACGTGATGGTGGCCGTACTGGGGGCGTGGTGTACACGTCATCGCGCAGCTGTGACGCAGAGCGTTCCGCCTCCCTGAGTTGGAGTCTGCGCAATGCTGTGAGAACAAGGAGAGCCGACAAATGAAACCACATTCAACTCGTAACATGCAACTCAAAAAGAATCGTGTCGAACGCCTGGGCTTTCATAAAACATTGTTTTATACGATTACACATTTACAGAGCTAACAATAAAAGCACTGGCATTTTCACGCACATGTTACTGTCTATGGCTTCACAGCTGCCCGGTCGTCTCGTTCCGACGAAATCCGAGTCAGGTTTCGGAAACACGTCAGATTTCATTCCTGAAGAACACGTTCTCGAAGTCTCTCTGTTGGAAGTCCAAAGATCTGTCGTAATCATAGTCCGACACTGAGAAAACGCTCTCATCAAATGGGACATCACTCTGCATTGAGAAATCGTGGCTTACGTCACATGCCTCCATTGAAACGTCTAATCGGTCAGCATACACCAGGTCCATTAAATATTGCGTTGTGTTTCTTGGTGCCATGGCTACTGTTAGGTAACTTTGATTCCCCGTAGCTGTACTGTCGACACGGTCCGGACTCAGCTGCGGTCTCGCCGACCAGACACGGACCCTTCGCCTCCTTTCGCCCATATTTGCGCGCAGGAATGTCCTCCTCTTTGGTTTTGACCACTTTTTCTTGTGAACAGGCGCGGTCTTGATGTCCTTCTGGTAGTTTCCTTTCATTGTCGTGATTTCAAGACACATTACCAAGAAGAAAAAAATAGTCTTTGTGTGTCCAAAAGTAAAAGATGTATAAAAGTATCACCTAGTGGTTAAAATAGAACAAAGAAAGCTTTTAAGCCCTTAAAAAAAAACGTCCACAAAAGACGCGAGTTTTGACTGCTTACTCTTCAACGACCGAAAGCTAAACGTGGCTAACGAACGTGTGTCTCGCGTACTTAAGGAACTTGCGGAAGTGACGTTTTCCGCTTCCAGCGAATCAGCTTTCACCTCCTCTTATTCGGCGTTGTTGCGACCATAGAAATAAACACACTGTGCCCCGTTAGCAACTGTTGGTCCTTTTTTAGCAAAACATTGCAACATAATTAAACATGAAGAAAAGCCATCGGGAACTTTAGAAACAAACTTACAAAAAAGTACAAACAAACCAGCACCATTTTACATGTTAATAGGTCTAGATTACTGAATAGTTTTATCTATACGTTTTATTATAACATCCGTGAGTCCACCACATTGAAAAGGTCAATATCTGCTAGTAAGTCACGAATTGTTTATTTACAGATTAAAATGATTTGGTTTGACATAAACATTAGACAATTCTGCATATTGCAGATGATATAAAACTCCACAATGACATTAGTAAACCATTTGTAAATTAAATTGATGGTCATAAAGCACAGCCTGACAAACTTAAGGGGCCGTTCACACAGAACACAATTCTGTATTTCACCGCGCTGGTTTTCCATTGTTTTTCTATGTAAACATGCTAGTCGGACATGTTAGACCGTTTGACCTTTTGCAGCATCTCTAAAAAGGCCTTATATGCCATTAACATTTAAAACTGTGAGATAACCTTGTATCAACTGAGATAATTTGTTCTGTGTTCATAATTCACATTAGGTTAGCCAGTCTGATTTGTTCAGCTAAGTCAGTAACTTTAGGGAGATAGTCAATTTAACCATAATATTTCTCCACTCTGCTCTTTCTGCCAAGAGGAAGAAGAATCAATTTCACATTTATTATATTTCTGTTATTACTCTAAACAATTCTGGCTTCAAATATCAGCTTCCCTATTTCTTGTGTTCCACCAGCTCTGTGGTATTTCTATCAGTAAGGTTTTCCATTCTGATATTTCTGACAATAAGGAGTTATATGATGTCTTAAACTTTATTGTATGATGGGTAAATACCATATCCACAAAGATACCTTAAATTTAAACCCAGCTGCAAAATATTTGCTTCTGACCTACATTTATTATTGTCATCACTTCAAAAAGTCTCCACTAATAAAGTCTGCCTGAAGACATCTCTTATTATAGAAAGTTTTTAAGTAAATTATAATTTGTACACACACACACATATATATATATATATTCCCTCTCTTCTCTGTATTCCCCCATATGTTCTATGTTCTGTATTATTTGTTACTTTTGTATTGCATTATATTTCTGCAGTAAAAAAGGGGAGATAAAAACAAAAATCCATCTTTTTGTAGTAAACTCAAACTAAAGTTGTCTACAAAATGCGTTGTGGAAAACATCTAGAAGAACATCACCCAAACATGTAATTATCCTACGAATTTGTTTCCCAAACAAATTAAGTTTATTTAGTGCACTAAGTGCCTTTTTGACCGCTCCAAAATGTCGGTGCTCCCAGACCACGTAAGAATGAACCTGCCTCTTGAATCTCTCTGCTGCCATCTTTGTATTGGAGAGATTTATGAAAAATAAATACATTTATTTGTCAAATTAAACTTTATATGCATCCATCTTTTCTTCACCCATATGTGTGAGGTGTGTTGTTCTTTTGACTCTAAATACAAAGACATTCTTTAACTAAGCAAAGTGACTTTTCTGTATCGAAGGGTGTATTTGCATTACTGCACCTCCATTTTCAGTAGGCTACAGCACCGCCAGCAGTTTTAGTCCAGCCGATCTAGGCCGACAGTTTCGGGACTCGAGTTTGTAAACATGACAAGTGACAATGTAAAAATGAAAGAGAGCAGGTCTTATCTTAGTGAGTATCGAGCTCATCATGCTTCTTTTTGTCGATTCTAATTGTGCTTTATATGAGACATACGTGCAACATCTGATCTCGAGTAGACATATGGTTTGAGACCACGACAGCTGACACAAAACGGGATGCTTTTCACGTTCCTAGTTATGGAATGGTTGTGTTTATGGCTTAATTTATAGACACATGTGGTGCTTTTACACGGGGCACCCAGTTTTCCTCTGTTGTACTCTATTACTGGTATAGAGTAAATACTAGAAATCAAAGTTCTTGGAGTATTAATTTGTAGTCTTATTTTTCTTTTAGACACACATAACGATTCAGAAAGGCCACTCACTGCCCCCCTTACATCAATGCACGACGTGCTGCAGCGGTTTCCACTGCCCCTTTTGCTCTGAGAGTGTATTTAAATCTACCAGAAATGACAAATTAAAACTGCACGACAAGACATTTTAACAGGGCCGTTTTCTACGAGAGTGCGTACATCTACAGTGTGTTGTTTTGAATATAGAAATATACAGGCTTTGTTACGCAATATTTTCATAACTATACAATTTTTCATGCTGTAGGTTTCTCCGTTCACAGATGTGGATTTGACTGTCGACCATCACTACATTATCATTGCCCCTACTGCAAAACTACAGTTTTACGAAGAAACGATTTTGAAAGTCATTTAATTGTTTGTAAAGAAGCACATCCTGAGAGGTAGAATACGAACGCTTTCGTTGGATTATAGGCTTTAATAATAAAGTTTTTTAATTTCAAATAATGCGGTACGATGTGAAACAAATGTGTATGTTTCTGTATCAATTACACATTTTTAAAGATTTACGCTAACATATACATTTCTAATAACAAATTAATGTTTAAGACAATCTTTATACACTACTTTTCCCTGACTTTTTTTTTTACATTGTGATATAACAGCAGTCCAGTAGATGGCGGTATGTGCACTCGAACCGCCATGAATCAACGGCAGAAGAAATGAACGTAAACCCTCCATTTTCTCTTCTAGTGCCCTTCGCTTGTGCACTAGCGCCATGAGTAGCGCACTTGATGACTCAAAGACAACAGACGCAAGTATGGACCACGAACTTTACACTGTACAGAGTCCCTCGGAGGACATTAAGGATGGCCCAGATCATGCAGAATTCATTTATAAAAGTGAGTAGCAATTAACTTTATGCATTTAAAGTCCCAATGCATTTCATTAACTGTCCCATTTTAGCATTGAGCTGGTCACGTAAATGGGATGCATGCATTATACAAATCACGTGTCCTACCGTTATTGACATCTGCATGTGTGTTTCTGTGTGTGCGCTTCAAGTGTCAAATGAAGAATTTGTTAAATTCGTGAAGTTGCGTGTGACCAACGACTCACTTTTCACTGGAAAGAGAAATTCTTCAACTCTGGCTTATAGGTAAACCATTCACCACCAGCAGACAGTTACACATGCATACTCACACATTCAAGTCTTTGCACCAATAAAGAAGTATACAGTAGATGCTTATGCCAACAACCTGCAGCAGTTAGTGTGTAAAGTCTGCATATCTTTGTACCATAGGGCCATCTTGAAAGAGCTGGGTCTGCAAAGGGAAATTTCTGCCAGCCAGGCCAGGAGGAAATGGGAAAACCTTAAGATGAAGTATAAGGTATGCTAATGCCATGTTATGAGTGTTCAGTAGTTCTAATTTCTGTAATAATAGATATTAATACTAATATGTATTATTTAATATACATTTCATAATATATACATATACATAGTGTATATATATGTGTGTTAAATTTTAAATTTCATATTTTCATGAATGTATTATATGCATAAACATCATTATTTAAAATTACACAAATTTAACTACATTACATTTTAATATTACACATCAGAATGTAATAATGTATATATAATTAAAATATATGAAAAAATTATATAAAATATAATTTAAAATATATAAAAAGATACATATAATTTATTTAAAAAGTATGGTGCATGAATGCATTATACATACGCATTACTTTAATTAAAATTACGCAAATGAACTAAATGCCATTTAATGAATATAAACATTAAATGCCATTATATATTAATATTATGATTATTTACATTACATAATTATGAACATCATACTGTGTCGTTACACAAACCTAATCTGCAGGATCTTGCACTCTGCTTGCTCACCACTCGTAAACTGTTTGTGTCTGTGTACCTTGCGTGTATCAGGAAATGAAGAATCCCCCACCTGGCGTCTCGGTGAATCCCACTAACTGGCCGTGGTTCTCCCTTATGGACGACGCCATGGAAGGTAGACTCGCAGGAAGTGAAGTCACCCTAGACACTTCTACTGTGGGCGACGACAGCGAGTATCGCCCGAACAACACCACACGCCGGAGAAGCAAGCGAGCGCGTGATCTGGACAGAAGCGAGGTCGAGCTGTTCGTCGAAGAGGATGACATGATGTCTGAAGAAATGGGGCGAGACAGGGTAGAGCTCGACAGAGACAGGGATGAGATGGAGCACGAAAGGGCTATCCTAGAGAGCGACAAAGCCGCTATTGAATACGAGAGGATGGTCCTGGAGCGGGAGAAGATGGTTTTAGATCGAGAAAGAGCAGGAGTAGAACGAGAAATCGCAGCATTGGACCGAGACAGGGCCTCTCTGGAGAGAGACAAGGCCGCTGTGGAGAGAGACAGGGCCTCTGTGGAGTACATCCGAGCTCAGCTGGAAAAGGAAAGAGCGATTCTTGACAGAGAAAGGGCAAAGCTTGAACGAGAGCGAGCCATTCTAGAGCAGCAGCGTGGGACGGAAAAAGGGAAGCAGACGGCTAATCTGAACGATAGTACAGAAGGAACTGATACCTCGATTCCCTTAGTGATGGAACCGGCTTCCTTAGAGAGGAGGCAGAAATTCCTCAACCTGTTTGAAAAGCTCATCGAGAACTTCTAAAATGGAACTAACTGTTCTGAATGGGACCCATTATGTATATGTTATTTTTTTGTACACCTTCTGTTTGAAGTAAAACTGTTTTCTGTTGCCAGAAGTGGATTGTGCTGTGTTACAGTGATTGGTTTTGTAATGTTAATAGCTATGCTTGTTTAAGTGAGCGATAAGTGTTGCTTTCATGCCTTTGAAGACTTTACAAGTGAACAATGAAAACGTTAAGCCACCTCTGTTTTGGAGAGGTCATCAGAAAACTTTATTCAGGTGTGATTATTTCCATACAAAACACACAATGCTGAGCTAATATTTAACCCCCATTCCCCCCAATCATTCTCAAATCCCTCAGCCAATACAATTCTGAAATGTTCATTTTGAAGGTCATTGGTCATAACAACAGCTTGAATTGTGATATACCAAAATATTGCAATTCTTGTAAAAAAAAAAAAAACAGCTTATATATTTATATTACAGTACAGACTTTACAACAAATTCATTGTTAGAATGCTTCTTTTATTGCATTAGTCAAATTTACCTTTCAAAAAGTTCATTGAGCGCCAGCTTCAATTAGTTTATGTTAATTATGATAAACATTTGTTAAATTCTATATGAATATTAACAATATTTAATTTACAAAACAAACATATTTAAACAATTTGGGCTGGCTTTTGCAGCTAACCCCAGACAGGCAACCAGTACAGCACACAAAAGAGGGTTTTTGTGCGGTTTTGTTCATATTTGCACTTGTAAATTAATGACATCTCGTTTTCCTCAAAGGTTCATTAGTATTTGATAAATAAAAAATGTTCAGAGTTATCCATTGTTCTGTTTCTCTAAATGAGATTGTTTATGAGGCTAGACACGTATCTGTGTTTGAGACGTCATAAATCCAGAAATTATTAGAAACCTACATTATGAAAAGTATGTACTGGGTCAAAAGGTAGAAACACAAGCAGCGTAGAGTTGGAGGTGTCCACCAGAACTCCTGTGAGAGTGTGAGATTATGTATTTATGCCAACCTCCTTTACAGACAGCCATTCATATCCAAGTGTTTGCTTGAGCCCAAAGTAAAAAAAAAAAAGAGAGAGAGAGGTACGCACAGAGGAGTTTTGATGCATGTGCATACGTGTGAGTTTTGTACGCGTGCATTTGAGTGTGCGTTTTTCCAGCTTAAATAAGGGCACCAACAGGGATACGTGGCAAACATATGTAGGCCTGTGGGGTTCTGCTGAGGTTGATGGGATTACCGTCCAGGCGAACATCCTCAAGAGCGTTGCGGATGTAATTCAAGTCATGCGGATTGCAGAAGGTGTCCTCGTGCATCATTTGGATATTGTTATTCTAAATGATAAAACGGAGAATGTTTTCAATGTAGCATCCAGCTACACACGTCCATGTTAAATAATTCCTTTAAATGTTTAAATTTGTGAGATACTTAATTTTACTTCAGCAAAGATGTCAGTGTTCATTAAAGAGCACTATGCAGACCACCAGAAAGATTTTTAAATTTAAACTAGCTCCTTTAAATTAAAATCTATTAATGTTTCAGTTAGGTGGCAAGTAGCATAAATGTCCACAAGGTGGCACTAGTGAGGTGGGAGTACAGGTACCTGTAGGTGCAGAGAGCGCAGACTGTCAGGCAAAGGAACTGGGATGTGGTCTATGTTGTTGTCTGTCAAATAAAGGTAAAGTAGCCCTGGCATGTCCTGGAAACAGAAATCATGAGCTGATGACAATCCTGCCAAACAAAATTATCTAAGGTATACTCAACACATCTACTTATGATTAATAGCAGCAATTTCCCATAGAAAGTGGATGCTTTTCTGCTGTCTGGTTTTTCTCTAATTTAAATGAACTGTAAGTTGTTCTCTCGGGTCTGCTTGCACAACAGTAGGCTATCACAGGATCAAGGAAGACTATGCAAGGAAAGCTCAGAAAATAATGGGCAAAGGTAGGCTAATGCTTTGTTATTAAACTCCACAGTTTTTATTCTTACTGCTTTTCCTACCTTGAAAGCTTCTCTCTGAATGCCAGTGCTGCCCAGCTGGTTGTGAGAGGCATCAATAAGGGTCATAGAGGGTGGCAGAGCAGGAAGTTGTCTAATACTATTCTCTCGTAATATCAACTCCTCCAGAGCAGGAAGGCCAAAGAAAGCATCATCATCAATCCTGGAAATGCCATTGCTAGTCAGATCGATCCTATTTAATTTATCTTTATGACAGCAAAAGACAAAAAGACCATTCAGTGAAGTTCATGAAAAAATCTAATTCATATTTTTCATCAAGCTAAAGCTATCAAATATCGATTAAGCTAACAGATCTGGTAATGAATGTTATTAGACAACCTGCTGTCTATATGAACTCTAGGCTTCAAGTCAACAGGAATTGCAACCCATTTTCAACATTACTTCTGTAATGTGATTTATTTCTGAATGAAACCAGATATTCAGCTAGAAAAAAAATGTAGGGCAGTGCTTGATTTGATAATTTTTTGCCAATTTTGAATTCATACTGACTTGAATTTAACTGACATGATTAAAACTTTGACTGTCCCTTTGATTAAACACATACTCAGGTTGGCGAAGTCAGACTTGCTGATCCTAGCAATTTTGTTGTAGCGGGCATAGAAATGAGTGGTTTCTTTGGAGAGAGGAGGAACACGGTCCAACTTAAGGTCATCACAGTACACAGATCCAACCAGGCAGGTGCAGAGCATACAGGTGGCCATACCTTACCACCAAATTAAGAGGTGGCATTCAGAAGACAAACACAAATACACATTAAAACACAGAAACTGTACTGATGCATATGCCAGCGACCACCTGTTTTGAGACATGAGGCAAACAGTTTTTGCACTTTTGTATCATATTGTTAAGAGACTACAAAAGTCACATGAACATGTGCTGCTGCATACAGTACGGCAAAGGTGTCTAGTCCTTCTCACGGAGGGCCACTTTAGTGCAGAGTTTAGCTCCATTATCCAACTAAACACACCTGAACTGATCAAGGTCCTCAGGGGGACGAAAAAACATTCAGGCAGGTGTGTTTGAGCTTAATTCTGCAGGAATTTGTGGCCTTCTAGGAGCAGGATTGGACACCCCCGCAGAATATTGCAGAACAGAACTTCATAGTGATATGTAGGTATCTATGGTAGCAACATAACTTAATTAGATAACACACTGAACAGGTCTTAAAACCACTGAGGATACATATTATGGAATCATCTTAATTGCCTTAAGAATGGTTAAACACAAGTGAAATACTGACCTGTTGTATCTGTGTCAATATCTTTGTCAATATCACGTACCCCTGACCCTATATCACCCCCAGTCCCCTCCAAGGGAGTGGTCGGGGTAGTTAGGAGTATCTCCTCCTCTTGTTAAACACAACAACATGAAGGTGTTAGGAGACAGATTAGCACATGGACAGATGAACAATGGAACAGGACAGGCAGTGAGTAATACTGACACTGAGAAGTTATAATGATTATTATTGTTATAATGCACACCAAAGCAAATGAATACACATTTAACCATGGTCAGCCAGTTAAATGAAATATATGGGTTTCACACAGGTAATAATATCAGAGGATTGGTATAAAATGCTTAGAGCTTAGAATTGATGGGTGCAACAATAAATTCAATAGTGTTCGTAACTCTTGCTAAGCTTGTCTTAACTATTCTTCTAAGCTATTTTTCAAAAAAAAAAAAAAAAAAAACTCCAGTAAGTTGTAACCAACACTACCAGATTTCTGTCATAAATCTGAGTCATAGAAATGCATGGTATTGATAGGTACTGACCTTCATCTAAGTCAGGTATTAATATTTCAGTGGTGACGTCTGGGGCCTCAGTCACCCCAGACTCTTCTGGGCTCCCAGACTCTCCTGACTCGAAAGTGACCTCGGGCTGTTTAGTCTCCTCGGGGACCCCAGACTCTCCAAACAAATCAAAGTTTCCAGACTTTCCAGGGAACTCAGGCAGCACAGAGATCACAGGCTCTCCAGACACCTCATTCAACCCAGAGATCCCAGACTCTCCAGACACCTCATTCACCCCAGAGATCCCAGACTCTCCAGACACCTCAGGCACCCCGGAGGTCCCAGACTCTCCCGATACGTCTGGCACCCCAGAGAGCCCAGACTCGCCTGACATTTCAGGTACGCCAGAGGCCCCAGGCTCTCCTGAAACCTCTGGAACCCCAGATTCTCCTGACACCTCAGATACCCCAGAGACCCCAGGTTCTCCTGACACCTCAGGTACCCCAGATGCCCCAGACTCTCCTGACAGCTCAGGTACTCCAGAGGCCCCAGGTTCTCCTGATACCTCAAGTACCCCAGAAGCCACAGGCTCTCCAGATATCTCAAGAACCCCAGAGGCTGAAGGCTCTCCTGACAGCTCAGGTAACCCAGAAGCTCCAGACACCCAAGAGATTCCAGACTCCCCAAAATCCCCAGAGGCCTCGTGTGGAATGGTTTCAAGCGTCAAGTGGAGCTCCTCCTCTTGTGAGAGACAAGGTGGGGTGGCAAGAAAGAAATTAGCCTCCTCAACAATAGATGAGAGATAACAGCATGACAGAAATGCTGGCAATGATTACGAGTTACCCATTTTGAATCAACATTTTAACCAATACAAAACCGTTAAATGGTTGTGAATTACCGATCATGATTACTTGCTTAAAAACCCTCAGGAAATCCCTCCCCACTAAGGTCTAACAGGTAGAGACTATAAATTGGACTCCACTTCACCCACAGAAAAACAAATATTGTGCTGAAGTAATCAAGAATCCTCTCAAGCTATACTATCAGAAAAATTTTACAAAAATTGTAAAGGGACATCTAATGTGCACCATTTAAAGGTAGATAAGGTTCAAGATTACTACCCCATTGACAAGCTATTGTACCCCTAAAGGTACAATTTGAACACATTTTTTTCTGACAGTGTAAATATAAAGCAAACCAAGGTCCTGAGTACTGACCTCCACCTGAGATCAATATTATGCCTGAACCAGAAAGCCCAGAGACTCCAGAACCAAGGTCCTCTGACTCCACAGAACCTGATATGTCACCAGAGGCCCCAGAACCTCCAGAGCCCAAAGGCTCTCCAGAACCGGAATCTTTGTCATGAAGTAAGTCTCCAGAGCCCAAGTCACCAGAACCCGAAAAGTCCCCAGAAATCTGAAGGATGTCAATGGGCGTCAGACGAAGCTCCTCCTCTTGTTCAAGACAAGGTTAGGTGTTAGAACAGTTATTAGAATTAGAATTACACTTAGAACCATATGGACTGGTTCAGTAAACACTATGAGTGATGAATTTAATATTATGCACATAAAAAGCAAGTTAAAGAATTATTAAAACACATTTAACCAATCAGATTGCCAGTTAAATGGAACAACAGCATGATGAAATGGTTGGCAGGCTATTCATGACAATTAGTAGTGTGTGCGTCTGTCTATGCATAGTACAGACCTCCCTGTGCACTAGGGCCCATCAGAGTCCCTGACTCCCCAGAGCCTGATGGAATAAGCTGAGGCTTTATGGGTAATTCCTTGTCTTCTCTCCCCTCAACTGTCCGTTCTTCATGCTCCACCTCCTCCTCTTCTTCCTCCTCCAATGAGGCATGATGTGAAGGATCAATATCCTCATCAGGGCTCAAGGTGCCAATCTCTATCTGCAAGAAGAATTTAGGTCAGTACACTATACTCATTTTTGTTATGTTACAAACCCTAACAAGGCCTTTTCAGACTGCCATCATGCGGAGTTTAGCTCCTACCCTGATTAAACACAACTGAACCAGCTAGTTAAAGTCTTGAGGATTACTAGAAACTTCTAGGTAAATTTTTTGGGCAGATTGGAACTAAAATATGTAGGATGTTGTCCCTCCATGACTGGGACTGAACACCCTTGAGCTGTAAATAATTGATTCACACCACATATGATTTAAAAAATATCCCAGATACAAACCATTTATTCATTAGACATCAGTTTGTCCTACTAAAGCATAAGAGTCTTGCAGATACATTAACACATTTGATTGTAACAAAAACTATTTTGAGGTTCAGTAAAAGGTGTGACTCAGCAGATAGCTGTCCCATTGAAAGAGAATAGACTTTTCAATGGGTATCGGCCTATTCATTCAAAGCTTTCAAAGTCAACCTCTTCCTAATAAATGCTAATTGTTGCGAGGTATGAGACAAATTACAGATCATATTGATGTGCTGATTTTTAAATCCATTCTATTCATTTTTCATTTCATGTACTCTGCTAATGTTGTAATGTTGACTACATTTATCAGCAATTTTTGTATTTGATTCCACTACAGTCCAGAGTGGGGAGCTGTGAAACCATTCACTGTCTCATCTGCAAGCAGCTGCTATTCTCCAGAAATGGTCCTTGTGGAACCAAGACATACATGGTAGCAGAAAAATACATATTTCTGCACATTTTCTTTCCAGAGTGTTCAATTAACTCTAGAGGACCCACCTCAGTTGTCTCACATAATGGTCAACTTGAACCTATTAAAACTTTTATTAAAATGCACTACACTATTAATTCTGTCAACAGTCGGGTATTAAGGCAAATGGCCGAAATCTACTTTACTGAGTCCGTAAAACAACAAGCCTTTGAGAGGCCTTGCTTGGAATATGCTTGTTTTTCATACAACAACCTAGCCAAACACACAAAGCCAAAGGCTAAAAGGATGGCCAAAAGAAATCAGCAAAATGTAAAGCAATAAACAGTGCCAATGACTCATTTCAGATACCGGGATGCATGAGAGCTTTCTGGAACCCCTACAAAAATCTATTCTACAGCAGCCCTGTGACTCACAAGCCTGTCAGCATTTTGTTAGTCAAAAAGTACTAACTAACTAACTAACTAACTAAAAGGGTAGACAAAAGTTGATTTTATAAAGTAATGTGCATTGTATAAGTGTTGTGTAAGTTTGAAAGTATTTGTATCTTTCTATTGTGGAAGCAATGCAACAGTTTGTTGCAACTTTTACGCAAAGGGGTCATTAGGTTCAACTGAAAGTTAGTTAGGTCATTAGGTTCAACTGAAACTGATTCTGTCGCTGGTTTGCTGTTGTTGGTTTGAGTTTAACCTAACCTATAACCTGTTATTTTCTTATTTTTACAACAGGTGAACATATTACCAATAGTAGTTAACATAAAAAAAATCGGAACGTTTTGATATCACTATTTTTATCCGATTTCCCAAACATCCACTACTAGATCCAAATGAATTGGCAAATTACAGACCCATTTCAAATATTCCATTTATGTCTAAAATATTAGAGTTGTATCCACTCAATCGTGCTCTTTCCAGCAAAAAATGACATCTCTGAAAAATTTCAGTCAGGATTCAGACCCCATCATAGCACAGAAACTGCGCTCGTTAAAATTACAAATGACTGACTTCTATCTTCTGACCAAAGATGTCTCAATACTAGTTTTACTTGATCTTAATGCTGCGTTCGACACTATAGAACATGACATACTCTTAGATTGACTACAAAATGATACTGGTATTCATGAACAGGCATAGATTAAAGACCTAATTATTTTCCATCTGCCTTTTTGTGTCTACCTTGGGATGCCCACCTCGAGGTACAGTAACTAGAGATTACAGTAGCTCCATCATGGATCCAGACTTCAGATGACCCCACGCCTGTGAAGAGATGACGCTGACCCCTGCTAGGATCTCAGATGACGCCACTTTGAATCAACATGCACAATGGCCAAAATTTCTCTATATTGTAATCATTATGATCACACTTGTAATAATTGCATTAATGAGCTCATTTTTCATGCCTAAAATTAATTAATTCATGTTAGCTAACTGTATGATTCTATTATCTTGAACTGTTCATTTCTGAAATAGACATTACTTGGACAGTCACCTCTGATAACAGATCACTCTAAATTGTAATGTAGACACATTCATTTTCTGTAAAGCTGCTTTGAAACCATGTGTATTGTGAAAAGCGCTATTCAAAAAAATTTGAATTGAATTTGAATTTTCATCATGCTGGGACTGATATGCAATATAGAGAAAAGTATGCATAAAAAATTATCAAACATACATAGATTGTATTGCAACTATATATAAAGGCTTGTATGCCTTCATGCTTTTTGTTGGTCTAGCTTTATGCTTTTTCAGAAACCTCTAGAACAGGTATATTGATAAGTGCAACCTTTAGAGCCCAAGATTCACACTACAGCAGGAGCAACATTTCAGCAGTAACTCGAGTGAGAGTATAATACAAATACACCTGCACATACATTATATGTCCCTGTTCATACATGCATTTACACAGACAAATACAGGCATGTGCCTAAGGAACCTACAAACACTCTTACATGTACAAGCAACTTCAACTTGTAACTCCTCAAAAACAAAGTCTTATGTAAGATACATTTAGTCAGATTATTTACTTTTAGAAGTTGTACCAGAAATCTAAATAAACCACCATTCACAATGAAGCTGCATTTCTTCATAATAATAAAAAAGGTGGTGATGGTGAGGAATGACAAACGTTCCCACACTTTATGAAACATTAATAATATCCTGAAGAGTTGAAAATTAAGAGCCTTACACAAGGAAAATGTGCTGTAACTCACAAGTGTACTTTTGATTGTGGGTTTAACTACATAACATTCACATCAGGATCAAGTTAAGTCTCTTGGCTTCAATGTAATTCTTCTAAAAACCCATCTTGGCTTGTGCCAGTCAAACATAGTTTTAGCCTTTTTTCCATGCTGAAGATGATACATTTCTTCATACCTGCATACTTTAACTTCTGTTTTATCAAACCTCAGTGCAATGGCCAGTTTACAACGACATTCAATAAAGTATGTTAAGAACATTAAGTATAATAATACCAGACATTCCCAAATTAATGTTGTTAACTAAAACATTACTTTAAAATGAAAATTATGTTCTATGTGGATGCTGCTACAAATGTAATTTAGGAAATGAAAACCAAGACAGAAAGTATTGGCAAGATTAGATGCTTTGAGCTACTATCAATGATGTTATTGTGCATCCATCTTAAAATGTCACTTAAGTGAAATAATCTGAGGCACAAGTATGACTAGTGTTGTACAATTGTTGATTATGAGTGAATTTCAGTACAGTAAAAATGCCAGTGTCTGCCGCTCATTACATAAAGGCTGTGCCAGTGGAAAAATTCAGTTGAGAACATTTCACGTTCAACAACATCTGGTCTGTCCATCATACAGATGATATGTCCAAGAAAAGTATTTGTTACATTAAAAAAAGAACGATAAATCAGTTCAACACACTGAACTTTGCTGCACCAGTATGCCTCTGTTCATGAGCAGTTCTTTAAACAACATACAAGGACAATCATAAAAAGGCAATTTACTGAAAATGATGGTTCTTGTGAACTTTCACTTCACCGAGAAGGGACAAATATTAGTATGCATAGCAGAGTACTGTTCTGAAATCAGACAGGATGAGTAAATACAGGCCCACATGCCCTCAGTGACCGACCCTAAAGCACAGCAGCTGGGTTAAAACCAGTTTCTAAATGAAAATCATAAACCAAAGACTGACATAGCTGGATACTATTATCCCCAGGAAAAATTGGATCAGCAGAGCAAATGAAAAGTTGTCACCCTGAAGCAAAACTGCAGAAATACATTCCTGCATGTCAATTAGAACTGAGTCCAATGCTTGAACATTAGCCATCTCAACAGACTGGAGGAAACGAATGGATTTGCAGAAATAGGAATCAGTAATCGAGGTCCAAATATGAATAAGGCTTGATTAAAAAAACACTTAGATGAGACATATATTGGAAAATAGGACTTTTACTTGAAATGAAAGAATTCAGGTACTAATGCAAAACCCATTTATGGAAACTAGGCTGAAAAAAGGGATCATCCCGAAATCCATGACAATGAGAATATTGACATATGACTGCCCATATTAACATATCAAGATAATTGAACCCATTTATGAATTTTGAAACCTTGAAAGACTCTCTCACCTGTGGTTCATCAATTCCATCGTAATAGTCATAGACATCATCACCATCCACATTCAGGTCTAAATCCACATTGTTGTTGTCATAGTTATCTAGTTCTGCTTGTCGGGTGTATCTGCGGGGAGAGGCTGCCACCACACACAGGACCAGGAGTCCCCACATCAACCTCAGCGTTACCATCTTCCTGCTAGACACAGAATCAGATGGATTATTGTCTGGTGAGATCTTAAAATTTTCATGTAGAAGCAGAGTAGTAAACAGTTTGAATGAGATCATTCTTGTGAATGGCTGGTTGGATATAGCTTCATAATCAGTCCACAATATATCAAGCGACATAACCTTATAAAATGTCTTTTATTTTTGATCATTTAAAAAATATAACACACCCCTTGGGAGGTATATGTACATGTTCTAACAAGAGGCATAAGTGTCTTAAAAATCATGGACTTTGGCTCACCATGGCTCACCACAACTTTGTAAGATTGGAGAACACAGTATTCATTACCAGGGTGTAGGCAGCCAGTAATACTGAAATACAAACCTCTAAAGTCCTTAGCTCACTTACAAGAGCCAAGAAGCCACCAACTAACCCAGCAGTCATCTTGAATGCACTCAATGACTGCTTTGTGCGTTAAAGTTGAAAGGTCACAGGTGAGATGCCTGACATCATAAAAGGTTTCTTTTAAAACACAATAATAGCATTTTATTTATTTATTTTTGTATATAGCAAAGGTTGTGAAAAAAGTTTACTTGTAAAATGTTTTTTTCAGTTCTTTAGGTATCTTTGAATAAATGTTTTATATGGTTCCATGAAGAATCCATGGAACATTTCTATTGCACAAAAGGTTATTTATAGTGCAAACAGGTTCTTTACATTATTCAAATATTCTTCACAATAAGAAAAAAAAAAATGTTTGTATAACTGTTCAATAAAAGGTTCTTCGGGAAACCAAAAGTGGTTCTTTTTATACAGCATTGCTGCAAACACCCCCCCCCCCCCTTTGAACTTTTTTTTTTAAGAGTAG